GCATTTCCTCTTTCTGCGCTAGCGCTCGAGCGGTGAAATTGACTAAAGCGCGGCTGGGCAAGTTCCTAGGTGTGCGGTGCAGGCTGAACCTGACAGTATCACTAGATATATCAGAATTTTGAACATTTTAAATAAATAAGCAAGCAATAAATATATTGTTCCCTATCCAGTACATTATACTAATGTAATTTGGACCAACTTCAACTCATGGAGGCCTTTACTGGACATATTGCAGCTCTTTTTCCTTGGGGCAGAGTAGTAAGTTTCGAATTCAACACTTCTGCCTTGCTAAAAAGGCCAAGTAGCTCTAGTGATGCTACCATTCTCATTAAATGCACAGTCGCCCATAAGTAGGATCAGAATAGATAAACTGAACATAACAGAGGCTCGTGCATACATCAAAGTCTTGAAGAGGAATAACTGCTGACTTACATGCATGTTGTTAAAAGAATGAAAACACAACAGAGAAAGCGCTTCCAGACAGTGGGCTTCTAAGTAATGATGTGCAAAACATTCTGTCACGAAGTGGTCTGGCCTTGAAGTGGGCTGTTCAACCTTGAAATGTGAGTGTTCTGACCTTGAAACAAGCCACTCAGGGTGTTCCAATTTGTTAAACTGCTTCTGGAGTACCCGGAGAAGCCCATTTTGAGGTCAGATCACTTCTGGATCACATGAAATGCTTTGTTCTGGGGTGAAACATTCTGTGATGTCACAATTCGCACATCCCTAGCTACTAGCACTTACCTGTCCAAAAACACTGCAGCTATTCTATATTATTCTCCCTGAATGGGTTTTTCTCAGAAATTGATGGAAGAAATGGGGAAAGACAGAAAAAGTACAAATGGATGACAATAAAATGTATCTGTTCATAAATAAAGCAAGCTAATTGCACAAAACTGTTGTCTGAAAGCACCATGCCTATCTCACTGGAATACAGTGACAGGGAAAAATATGCTCAGCTCAGTCCACCTACAGTGGGGCAAAAAAGTATTTAGTCAGCCACCAATTGTGCAAGTTCTCCCACTTAAAAAGATGAGAGAGGCCTGTAATTTTCATCATAGGTATACCTCAACTATGAGAGACAAAATGGGGAAAAAAATCCAGAAAATCACATTGGAAAATCCAGAAAATCACATTGTCTGATTTTTAAAGAATTTATTTGCAAATCATGGTGGAAAATAAGTATTTGGTCAATATCAAAAGTTCATCTCAATACTTTGTTATATATCCTTTGTTGGCAATGACAGAGGTCAAATGTTTTCTGTAAGTCTTCACAAGGTTTTCACACACTGTTGCTGGAAAATCCAGAAAATCACATTGTCTGATTTTTAAAGAATTTATTTGCAAATCATGGTGGAAAATAAGTATTTGGTCAATATCAAAAGTTCATCTCAATACTTTGTTATATATCCTTTGTTGGCAATGACAGAGGTCAAATGTTTTCTGTAAGTCTTCACAAGGTTTTCACACACTGTTGCTGGAAAATCCAGAAAATCACATTGTCTGATTTTTAAAGAATTTATTTGCAAATCATGGTGGAAAATAAGTATTTGGTCAATATCAAAAGTTCATCTCAATACTTTGTTATATATCCTTTGTTGGCAATGACAGAGGTCAAATGTTTTCTGTAAGTCTTCACAAGGTTTTCACACACTGTTGCTGGAAAATCCAGAAAATCACATTGTCTGATTTTTAAAGAATTTATTTGCAAATCATGGTGGAAAATAAGTATTTGGTCAATATCAAAAGTTCATCTCAATACTTTGTTATATATCCTTTGTTGGCAATGACAGAGGTCAAATGTTTTCTGTAAGTCTTCACAAGGTTTTCACACACTGTTGCTGGATGAACTTTTGATATTGACCAAATACTTATTTTCCACCATGATTTGCAAATAAATTCTTTAAAAATCAGACAATGTGATTTTCTGGATTTTCCAATGTGATTTTCTGGATTTTTTTCCCCATTTTGTCTCTCATAGTTGAGGTATACCTATGATGAAAATTACAGGCCTCTCTCATCTTTTTAAGTGGGAGAACTTGCACAATTGGTGGCTGACTAAATACTTTTTTGCCCCACTGTATGTCCCATCCCCATCCTACAAAGGACTAAGATACTGGACACTACCGTGGAGATTTTATTTCCCATGCTTTTCTTTATATATTATATGCAACAGTATTTAATTTCATATCTAACTTTTACGGATGCTTTAACTGATAGGGTAACATAAATCAAAGAGAGGAGGGGGTATTAAGTAGTTCATAACCCACCTTAGATGCAAATTTCCCACTTTTGTAGAAAGGAGTCAAATATTTTACAACAATATCCGCTGTTTCCTTAAGTGACAATGTTTTTGTAGGTGGCTGGATGGCTCTTGTGGTCCCTTCTTTATCAACCCGTGACAGGTTTGGGTCAAAAGTGACTTTCTTTTTTGCCAACCCACCAGCTTTCCCCTCTGACTGCCACAAGATGGAAGACTTGTTTGTCATCCGTAGCCTCTTTTCAGCAGGGCTCTCCAGGTCCTTGAGAGACAGAAACAAAAATCCCTTAAAGCAATATTATATGGCTAAACCTAAGCAGCCTTCTTGAATACAATAAGCACGTATTTTGTGCCTATATGGTTTACAATTTAAATCCTTGACACACTGTGTGCATCAGAGATTATAATATGATTTGATTTCTTAATTCAAGAAGCAGAAGGAAAAAGATCTCTAGACCCCTTACCCCTACATGGAACTGTGTCTGTCCATAATAACTATCAATTGCTCAACCCAAGAACCTCATACATATCTTTTTGTGGGCCTGCACATATGGATGTCCAGAAGTCATAGAGGGCAAAGAGGTGGAATGATCCAACGGATTCACAAACTTGGCAGGGAGATGGCTGTGATGAACTCACATTCTGCTTCTCACCTTCTTAAAAGCTAATAAATCATTGCTCTTATACTGTAAGCAAAAAATGGAACTGCAAGAGAATTTCTATTGACCAGCATATCCCATTACAGTCTGTTCATAATATTTATCACAGCATTACTTTCTTCGTAGCTCAATCCCAATGAGGCTAACCTTAATCAACCAAAGAGGCCTTTCCATTCCCCATATTAATCACATGGAAAGGGTTTCCCTATCACTTTTAAAAAGCATTCTAAGAAATGCCATAATGCTTTCATTTGAACCATATTTTAGTTTGATTATTTAAAGACACGAGTATGAATCAGAAAACATTTTAATGGTACTCAAAGAAAAAAAGACCAGTTAAAAACAACAGAAAATAAAACTGGCAATAATCACAATGGATATTTCACTAATTCTACACAGAATTATGACAAGATTTGCTTTGCCTAATTGATCAGCCCACACCAAAATGACATATCTAAAAAAGAAGAGTAATATCAAGGGATACAACAAGAAGCTATATTAAAAGTCATAAGCCATCCTTGCCTGGAAGCAGGTTCACAAACCCAGTTTCTTATTTAGATGTCTAATATTTTCACTTAGTGATAGATAAAGGTTCTTTATATATTTAATTAGGAAGGTCACTATCAAAAAGAGTAATAGCTTTTTTTAAGACACTTTCATTTCTTTTGAGAATAACTCAGTGGTATCTCGTTAAATAACTATTATAAACAAAAGATATGACAAACACCTTTCAGAGATAGTGAACACTTCCTGAGATAGAATTTTGCAAATAAAAAAAATGAGAGGAGGATGCAAATATTACAAGCTTAAGGCTCACAAGGTTATATCACAATATAACTGTTTAGCTCAAATCTATATGGGAAAGAACATGAAAAAGTAGACTTGCACTAGTGGCCCATTTGTGCTTGAGATACACTGGACAAAAGGAATATCATCTGGACAAAAGGAAAGAGAGGTTTGAGAAATTCTACTAGAACCTCAGTGACAACTTCAGTTCCACTCTGTGGTTATAAAATCTCTGCTGCAGAAACTCTTACTTGAATTAATGACTTGACATTTTGGAACCTGGTTCTTTTCTCCCTAGGAATCTTTCCTTGGAAACAGTATGGCTAAACCATTTCAGAATTACTTTTATTTAATTATTTTAAAATCAGTAATTGTTTGGTTTCAACTGCCCCTTATTCCTATGACTGAACTCATTCCTACGACTGACTCATTCCACATGGCTGGGTCACTTTCTGGTCACCAACTACATTTACAGGTGGGATCATACCAACACTGTTTTGCTGTTTGCTAGTTCCTACCATCTAAAAGAAGATTCACCATCTCTTCACCATTAACTACATTTGCAATTCCCTTGGACAGAGACAAATACTGCAGATCTTATATCAGACAGCCTTAAAAATACAATGACTGGTAAAGTGAAGAAGCAAAACAACAAATAAAACCTTAGGACTCCAAGGGGCATCAGGTGTTAGCCAGATCTGGGAGGCCCAGTAAAGTAACAGGATATTCCGTGTTGTCTACATTTCTCAGTTAAGATATCTCAACATCTCAAAGATATACAGCTCATCAAGCAGAATTATCACGACCTTTCTGAAGCCTGGTTCTACCCTTATTAACAGCCTGAAGTTATCCAACAGATATCCAGGCACAGGAATTAACAACAACAAAATCTCCAGTGCCAATCCCATCTCTTCCTCTACTCAAATGGTATTATGATTGGGCCAAACAAAAGCAGCAATATTAACAAAGAATTGTTTATCTATATATCTTCTAAAGCAAGGTATGTCATATTAGCTTTCTGCTATTTACATGACCGAAATAGGTTAGTCTTTGTTCAAGAAAGATAAATGAACATGAATTATGCATTAAAAAAGGAACAGTCAAAAATAACCCAAACCCAGTTCCCAGACTATTCTTTAGCAGCGCTTAAAATAACTATGTACTAACTGTTGAACTGGAATTATCAAATTTAGCTCTGAGTACTTACAGATTTTAAATGATTAAATCAATACAGAAATTAATACTTCCTTTTTACATATTTAGATACTTATGTTTCCACATCACTAATTATGATTTTATATATGATGTTATATTAATTTGTGCTCTTTGGGTTCATTTTTAAATTTATAGACCAGTAAATAGATAAGCATTGCTAAAATGCAATGAAATGAAACCAATACACTATTAATATCACAGTCTAGAAACAACCTATTCAAGATCTTATTTGTGTTGATGGCTGTTTTTATGATTTTTCTGGCTGCTGTGTTTTATTTTTTGTATATGCATATATTTTTTACTTATTTTAATGTTGTGAGCCACCCAGAATCATGTACTTGAGATGGGTGGCTATATAAATTGATTAAATCTATATACTACTAAAACACTCGTCTCTATAACATTCAACTGGGCAAAATGGTATGTCATAGGGCAATAATTTTTGAATCAAGGCACCTCAAATGGGCTAACTTACAGAATGTGTCTAAATTCTGGGATTCATTACTCCCATGGGATTGAAATTTGGGAAATTTGTGTCATGGGTATATTCCTAACCTCTTTCCCACCTCCCTCTGTCCCCTGTGCCCAACTGGCCAGTGGCAAGGCCTGATGGGCGAGTGGCAATTGGCTGCTCTGGAACCAAGGCAGAAATTTGAAATCTCTTAATGGCAGCTGGCAGTGAGGGATGGATAAGGGAGTGACTCAGATGCCTACTGGCGAGGTAGGGCTGGCTGGAGGGCGCTGGTGGTCAATGGGTGAGCCCTCTTCCTCCCTTGAGAGAGGGGCCCTTGGGGACATGCCAGAATGGGGAGCAGGGGTGCAGTTTTCCTCACAGAGCGCAGTTCCTCTGGTTCCACCTGCCCCCAACAAAATGGCAGCCTGAGGAGGGGGAGCAGGCGTCAACTTCACTGGGGCTCTCCTGAGGGTCGTGAGGGGAGGGCAAATGGCACAAGTCTATATTATGTGTGGAGAAGGAGGGAGGGAGGGAGGGAGACTTCTGCCAGCTTCCCATTAGCAGAGTCAGTGGTGGAGCCAGCAGCAAGTCATTCACAGTCCCACTGCTTTTTTGCCCTTGGTAATTCTGTTTCTCTGCTTATAGGTAAGGAAATATCTCTGAAAAAATGACCCAACGGGTCATGGGTTGTCTAGTAAATAAATAAATACTCAAGCAACCAAGCAAGCTATGAAGTGTCATTTTAGTGGTTAGCACAAGTGAGAAATTCTATAAAGAAGAAACTGTCCTCTCTTTTTTCATTGTATTTCAGACTCAGATATCCCTATATCTGATAAAGCATCATGTATTTGTCAGTCATTAAATTGCTACATGAACCTTAGCTGGCCTTGTTGCAAATGCAACTGCCATTTGGGAATAATTTCAGGTAAACAGAAATCATCTCACTTGCTAATTCAATAATATCTACTTCCACTCCTACATTCCTATCACCAAATATCAGTCCCACCCTTCCATATGCCTCTCTTTGCCATGTATATATGGAGGGAGGGAGGGAGGGAGGGAGATGTTATTTTAATAAAATAATATCACTCACCTCAGCTGACCCTGGTCTTTTTCCATTAAGATTTTCACAACTATTGGTTATTTCTTCTTCACCCAAAGATTCAGCCCTTCAAGAAAAAAGAATAACAAATACATTTTATAAGAATAACCAAAAGGAAATATATTAACAATGTTAAAGAGAATATTGAAACTTTAAAAATAGCTAGGCCAAGCATCTTTCAATGGGTGCCCCATATGAAAAAACAAGAAGTTACACAATCAGTTTTTGCAACAGACAGATTTTATCCAGAAAATATCTGCAGCCACCTGAAGTTTAAAATCTGAATGTTTTATATATAACTGTGGAGACAGAGGAAATGCCTGGAACCAGCCTACACTTAAGACCTCCAGTATCTATGTACTGAGCTATCCATCTGCTCAAATTCAGTGCAAATAGTAGGCTAAGGTTTAGCTTTTTTATCTTCAATTGTACGCGTATAAACTGTGTCAGCTCTAAGGATGAGCAACATGCTTAAATTCAATTGCTTCGTCCAACCTGAGCTACCACAATCTCAAATTTGACCAAAGAAACTATAGCTGAATCATCACTCTTCTTCAACTGCCCACTGTTTATCCTAACCTCCTACCAAAAAAGTAATTGAGAGGCAAAGAAAACCATTTCTCACTTTAGTTTTTCGAGATTTGATCCTGAGCACAGGGACTCTCTCCCTAAGCTCTGACTGCTCAAAGGCAGAACTTCTATATTCTTGGATTCCTGCTCTTTTTTCTGGGATGAACTTGTTACTTCTTCCTTATAGACAATTTCAGTTTCCTGAGGTTCAGCTTTCTCCTTACACACTCTTTGGGAGGGAAACTGAGGCAGTTCATTGAGACAGATGATTTCCTCTTCTGCCAAGTCAATTTTTGAAGCCTTGGCTTTACGTCCTGCTTTGGGGATTGAGAAAAATTTGGAGATGTTCTGAGATTCTTTCCTAGCTGCTTCTGCCAAGAGCAACTGCTTCTTAGTAGCTTTACTCTTTTCATGACTAGCTACCAAGGAGGTGACAGCCTCAGCAGTGCCATGCTGTCCCCTTTTTTCAGGGATTTCACCACCATTTTTGTAGATTTTTTTGGCCGCTTCCTCCTTATTCTCAAGAATGTCACCCATATCCAAAGGCTTGGGACCACAGCTACAGTCTTCCTTCCAGTTTGGGCCAATTTCCTCCTTCACAAGATGAACTTCATCTCCTTCTTTGGCAGCTAGCACTTCTGAAGCAGACTGGAACATGCCAGACATTCTTCGAAATCCAATCCCCACTCTCTTAGGTTTGAACTTGGGGAAAGAGATGAAAAATAGTTACATCTCTAAAACGTTTGAGTTTGCCTTTGAAAATCTGAAATCGAAAGCATAGTCTATTGGGTCATTTATTTTTTATTTATAATGCATATATTCTACATTTCTTAGGATTTCAAGACAGCATATATGATTCTTACCATTTTACTAATATGCCAACATTGTAAGATAGTAACCCAGTGAACTTCATAGTTACACACAGATGAATCTCCCAAATTCTAGTTCAACGCTCTATACGCTATACCCACACAAGCTTGATCAATTTAAGTGTGATTGAAGATAAGGACCAATTTAAATATTAAATACTTAAATATTTTTCCTATATGGCAAATATAACAGAGATTCCTGAAAACCCAAGAAAATTATACATCAGACAAAATCTGTTGCAAAACCACCTTCTCAATAATGAATTATAAACAAAGCACTTACTGTATTCACCTTGGATGCCTGACAGAATACATCATCATGTGTAGCAGTTGGTTCAGCTGTCATCTTGTGGTTGTCACTGATTCCCAAGTCCAGGAAGGCATACAGCTCCCCACTTTTGGAAGCTTTGTTAATTTCTGTGACCTTTATTGAAGAAAGGGAGAGAGAAAGGAGGGCTATCCTAAAGATTCTCTGCCTCTGATACTGTACAGTGTTTGATTCAGTACAGGTAGTCCTCACTTAACAACGGTAATTGGGACTGGAATTCCCATTGCTAAGCAATGCAATTGTAAAATGCAAAATCACATGACCACACTGCTTTGCGACGGAAATTCCAGCACTTCTGGTTGCTGTCATTAAGCAAATCACTGTGGGTCGTTAAGCAAGGAAGTCATGTAGTTACCATTTGCGACCTCCTGCTGGCTTCCCCACTGACTTCTTTACAGGAAGCCAGCAAAGAAGGTCGCAAATAGCTATCACTTGACCATGGGACACTGTGACTGACCTAACTACGAGGACTGGTCATAGCTATCACTCATTCAGCACTGTCATGAGTTCAAACGGTTACTGAACGAGTGGACATTAAGTGAGGACTACCTGTAGCAGCAACAAGCAGGAAATCCATGTAAGGAATTAGGCTTTTCTTATACAATGCAATTAATGCAGCATTACCACCATTCCTGATTAGGTTCACAACAACCTAACCTGGATTAACTTTAAGCAGAGTTGCTTGGGGGGATGTTATTTCAGCTATTCCTCCCTTGTCTGAACTCTCATTCAAATGCCTTACGCATGGACAGCGTGGACTTTTTTCCTATTTTGTCAAAAAATAAAATTCTTACTATTTTACTGATTCATTCAAAGTAGATGCACCTTTAAATGCATATCCAAAGCAGTTTAAATACAGGAATGTGAGAAATTAACAAACAACAGGGCAAAATCTTAAAAGCAGCAGTGATCAGTGAATGACTGGACAAATATAAAGTTCTAGTTGTACTTAAAATTCCAGTGGAGTGCCAAACAATCAGTGCAAGAAAGGGTAATCCACAACTGGGCTTTCTCTAGCATCATCCTGCCACTTGCCCTCTAACAGTCGGGCACTTTCATGGAGAAGGCAGCAGACCTTCAGGCACATGTCTTTCAAGCCAGTTATATACACTTATTTGAAATGAAGCAAGGTTCTGGAAATTACAGAGGAGTGCTATAAATTGAGTGCACAATTGTTACTAATTTTTGGTCAATGGTGTTTCTTCTCTACATCTGAAGGAAGGTTATTGCCTCTGAAACTGACACTTTTTTACACATCAGATCTAATCTAATAAGATTCTTATAGAACTACCCACAGGGAGAGTTGTGTCAGTTTCTATTCCAATGTGAGAGAAGGGCTGCCAAGGCATGCAAAAGTGAGGACACCTTTAGCTGCTGAACTTCTCTAGAACATCCCAAGCTACTTATCAATATTTGTTCAACTAGAAGATCCTGCTAATATTTACAAAAGAAGTAATTTCTCCTTGTGAAGTTTTATTTTATTGTTGCAACTGTACAGTTTTAAAGAAGGGCAGTTTAGAAATGAATTAGGGACAGTTGTGCTTACACGGAGACCACAGATTATTTCAAAGCACACGTTCTTTAGAAGAGAAGATATTAATCTGTGATGCAATGCTTGATCTAAAAACTGCTACAAACCTGATTATTACTTAATCTGTATTCTGTTGAAGTTAAAGATCTACCTACTGTAATAAGGACAACAGAATGAGATGGAATCATCAGCATTTTCCAACAAGTAAACAGTAAATACACAACCTTTTCCCTTTATGACCATATGTTTCAAGAAATCCAGCTATCAGGGAGAACACTGGCCCACAACGATAGTCTCCACAACTGTTTATTACCTTCTTTAGAACTGATGCCTTGTATAGGTTTGCCATCTTACTGGTCCGGAAAGCCTCATATTCCATTTCTACAGCACATGCTAGAAGACCTGAACTAAAACAGACCCACAGTTTGATCAGCAGTGGCTGAAGGCATTTCTCCAAATACAAAGGAAATGCTCTATGTTTTCCTACAAAAAGTGTTACTATGGCATCCAAAATGCAACAATTGCAGTTCCAAATTATTACCTGAGTCCAAAAGTATTGGTGGCAATTGACTATTCTTCCTCAAATAGAGACAGAGAACAGTAACTCAAAGTTATACTTTTCCTTTAAATATTTCTAGTTTATTGCACAAGTACTTCTGTCTATCTCCTTTTTTCAGTATGCTATACATTTCAAAGCGCATTGCTATCCTCTGGTGGGAACAAAGGGAAATTGCAGTCTTTAGATCACAGAAGAAAAGGCAAATATACTTGGGCCATTCACTTTTTAATCATTCAATCACATTCCTGTAAGAAAAAAGTTTACCAAGTAATGCAAGAATGACCACATAACTGCATACTTTAGCTTAAACAGTGGCATTTGCTGGAGAACCAATATAGTTATCCCTAAGAATATGTACATTTAGGGCTTTAACTTGAAGCATGATGACATTTTGTGTGACTTGTGCAAATACTCTTAAGATTTTCCATGGTTCAAAATATGGCAGTGGTATGCAAGTTTATTCATTTATAGACTGCCTTTCGAGAAGAAAAAACAAATCCCAGGGCAACTTTAAAACAAAAATAGAAATAGTAGTAGAACAAAAAACTATGAAATAATACAACAAAATCTAAAACCACCAACAGAAGTTATTTATTTCCCTAGCTCTTTTAGGAAATCTGGCAATTCAACATACTGAAATTTGCAATTGATACAAGTATAATATATAGTATTGTATATAGTATATATAAAAATACTACAGTAAAAGAAGAATCTTAGATCAAATCAAAACATTTTGCTAATAGATCATATTTAAACATAAGTTAGATTCAATTCCATCCAACTTGATTTTGGTGCAGTACCTACGTATGTGAAAACTCTATTTCTCATAGTTCGTTCCCCACCCAAAAATTTTACCTGCAACTGCACCTAGCAAGGGCCATGAAGGAAAGGCTGGATGAAGCTACAGGGAGCACACTTGAGCTTCTCCCAGTAATACAGGAGCTCTTATATGTAGTATGCATATGTGCCCTTGGCTTGCCTGAGTGGGGCAGGGAGGCAAAAGGTCCATTGAGAGCTCTGGGACTCTTCCACCCAATTGGATTAGATCTACCTCTCTGTTACTGGTGCTGCTTGCCGGTTGATGACCAGTGCTTCCTCCAGCATCTTAAGGCAGTGTTCTCGAGCCTAAAACAAAAAGAGGACATATGGAAGCTCCTTCCAGTTGTGGTGAGAAAAGGTACCACCCTTACCAAATGTGTAACTTTATGTATGTGCAGCAGGATCACCTCCAGGATCATTTCAATCCTGCTACCTTGATAACTGGTCCAGGTGTTGGGGTTACAGCATTAAACCCAAGGTCTACCTTTTGCTTATTAAGCCTTTTCTTAGAAAAGGTTAACCCAAGCCTACAATGAAGTGATAAAGAGCAGGCCCAATACAACAGTCGTTTGGTGTAACTAACATTCATACAAACAAGTGATATTTATGATGAATTGCAATATCATCACTAATTGAATTTTTTTTAACATTAAGTTTTAGGGTAGAAATAAAATGGTTCCACAGAGTTGGGATGATAAGGACAGGCGAAACCAATATCATGATCTAAACAGCGAAGACTAATTTAAACAAAATCAGAAAAAGAAATACAAATTTATTAATGGAAGTCTGAAAAAACATTTAAAGAAAATCTCTGTACGTTTTTGTTTTTTGGTTTTTTTTGGTGGGGATTACAGAATGGTTTCCTAAACGTTAAAAGGTACACTAATTCTAGGCCACTCATAAAGTTGAAATAAAGCACACTTACTAGTAAAAAAAAATAATCCTGAAAACAGGACATTTTAGAGCTACCAATTGATACATGTGTGTCAATCAGACTGGAGGCAAGAGATTCAGAATGAACTAAACTGCACTGCATGAAAGTTGGGGCTAAGAGTTACTATGGTTCTTCAGGTTTGGATGTGGAAGAAGGGGCTTTTCTAGCTGCAGAAAGAAACCTGAATCCTCATCACCACATGAATATTCAGGTGAACGGCACACAGATTTTTGTTACTGAATAAGGACATCTGCTCCAGTAGTAAAGAAAAAAGTAATCCAAAACAATTTCTAGAAACCATTCTACGTTATTAAGCACATATGATATAAACGTGTCTCTCTCTTGCTTTCAAAATTCCATGCATATGAACATCTTCTATTTTTTGAACCGTATTGAGTTGCTTGCTATTCTCTCGGCATTCATTTCAATTTGCTGGCATTTCTGAACTACAGCAGCTGAAACTGGACAACATATTCCAGTCATGCTCCTACCCTATAATTTCAGCTTGATTGATGCTACTTCTCTGTTAATACACTACTATGCACTCTTCTATCTAATACAGTGTACGGTACAGTTTAGTATTATACTGGAAGCAAAGTTCTGTAGAGGCAGGGCACCTACAGTCCACTAGATAACAAGTGAAGCTCAATGCTTTGGAAATCAGTCCCTGCTCAGGCAGGAAAGAGCAACCCATTTCTCATTCAAGCAAGAGTAACATACTGCCTTTAAAACAGGGGTCTATTTGGACCCAGCTTCCAAAGGAAACCTATCCAACTCAGGAGGATCTTGGAAGGGGCAATACGAGAGTCTTCTTCTTGCTGTACCTCATCAGGGCTGGGATGGCGACAAAGAGACAGGGTGGCAGAGAAGGTGTGGCCCCACTTAAGTTCTGACTGACCTCAACTTGACTTTACCCAGGAGTTTCATCTGTGCTATATTTTTCTCCAGTTAGTCTTCAGTTTGAATATCACAACTTAATTGGTTGACAACAAATAAGTAGATTGTACTAAATTAACTGGTCTTGAAAAAAATCACACTTACCTTTACTGTAATTCTAGCAATTTTCCTACTGGCTGGGTCCTTCAAGGGACAATCAATATCTACCAAAGGAACAAATATACAAGCTAAATTTACCAATCTCTGTTTCTTCCTGATATGTTGCCAAACTTCTCACAGATGGGCTGATAAATTTAGACAGTACCAGATTCCAAAAGAGTACTCTTTCTGTATATGTGCTTTGTTACTTCCCCCAACTCATGTCTATATTTTTTAAACTTTCTTTCCCAACATCAACAAAAAACAACTGTAATCAAAGGTGCCTCAAGAGAGAAAATTCCAAGAGCTATCCTATACTAGAAGAATTCATGTGACTCCCTATGGGCTCTGGGTGCATGTATGTTTCCTTGCTTACATCCTGCTGGTTGATGCATGCGACAGAACTGCTGTCATGAAGGTGCAGTCAGCTAAGCCACCAGGAAAATTTCTGGTTCTTTCATCTTTGGGGCAGATTATAATACAACCATATCATTTTACTGACATTTACCCACTATTTATTGTGCTTTGTTTTGCTTACATGTTTTTGGTTTTTTACAGTACTGTGCAAATGTTTTAGGCAGGTGTGAAAAAATGCTGTAAAGTAAGAATGCTTTCAAACATATATATATTGTAATTGTTTAT